GGTTTTACTTCCTAGTTCTTGCTTACCTCAACCACAATAGCTTCAAATTTTAAATTATATAATAAAATACAATTTTTTTATTTTATATATTTTATTAACGGGAAACTGGATCTCAACCGGTCCTCCTAATTTTTTGTCGGAATGATTTATTAAACGGCGTCGTTTCAAGTAAAAAGCATAAAATCCTAATTTTGCTCGTCTTCAACTTTCCCCTGTTTCCACTTTCCAGATTTTCACAAAACCCTTGACGTGAATTCCTAATCAACAAAACCCTTGATGTTTAGGATCCTAAACAGAGAGAAACAATTCAACTTCCATCTCACTCTGATATAGCCATCTTTTCGCCGGTAACTTCTTCGACATAGTTTTCAAGCCTCCGATGAATGGGTTGAGTAGCTATGGCGTCGGGAGGATGGAAGGAGAATTTGCAGGAAGGGTTTTAGAATAGAGAGCTTTTGAATGTAGAGAAACAAGGGCAAATCAAAGAAGAAATCCAGTCCGTCATAAGTAAACAAAAAGGTTTCATTGCAAGCAAACCGTTTAGAATTAGATTCTGGGATCAAGATCGCCATTGATTTTACATTGTATCCATTCTTCATTATCATCAAAATTGCAGAAACATGCATTGAACCCACCAGGCGTTCATCTTTCTTGAAAACCAGCATACTCTCTGCAACCCAAAATAACCCAAGTGGGAATTGATAATTTTGGATGTGAAAGTGGAAACAAGCGAGCGATTTTGAGTTTGAAAGTGAAAGAAAGACCTTTGGAACTTGGAAGTGGTGGTGAACTGTTGAGGGGTTTTAGGGTTTTGGGTTTTGGAAAAGGAAAGAAGAAAAGGGAGAGTCTCTTGGATAAAAGAAGCGACGACAAGACCGGCGCCGGTGGTTTTAGGGTTGAAGACGAGCAAATTGGGATTTTATGCTTTTTACCTGAAACGACGCCGTTTAATAAATCATTCCGACAAAAAATTAAGAGGACCGGCTGAGATCCAGTTTCCCGTTTTATTAATATACTTACACTCAAAAATTGTTTCTTGAACAAATTCACAATGGGTTGGATTCGAATCCTTCCCTGTAAGTGGAGAAATACACTTATACGTAACTTGACGCCACTAAACTCAAATGCTCAAATGCTACTTATACTCAAATTTAAAATCCCTTCTTTCGCTTAAAAATGTATTATTATTATCAAATGACTTAAATTATTTACAACCCAAAAATCATGTTTATCACATACTTTAACTACCAATAAATTTATAATTTGCATAAAAAATAATTTAACCTAACTTTTACACATAATATTTACTCACAATTTTTACATGTCATTCAATAATTAATTCTTTTCACCTCATCAAAACCCTTAAATTGGTATTGATTCACTAGTTTAAAAATTAAAATGACATATAACGGCTACAAAGGGAAGGTTGTGGCCTAAATCATCGTTAGATTTATTTAGAACATGGCATGGGAGTTTAAAAATTCTACCATTGACTTCACTCACGCAACCTCACCCCCATAAACCCAGCCCTAATCAATTTTTTTGGGCCTATTTCAGAATCGAACAATCTTTGTGAATATTTTTTGTCTGTTTTTCCGTGTCTCTTTCTTACCGTTCTTGTCGGGGCCTTCATCTAAAGGCGAATCATGCAAATTACCCCCTAAACATGGCAGGAGGTGGCAAAAAAGCCCCTTAACTAAAATGAGTAGCACATGACCCCTTAAATTCATGAAAGGCGGCAAATCAGCCCTTGTTTAACAACCCTGTTAATATTCTGTTAAAACTAACGGCTCTTTGGCTAAAATGGATTTCACAGCTTACTTGGATGTTATGTGGCCCATTGAAGTTTGACGTAGCCTTTTATGTCATTAAATCATTAATATTTTTGAATTTTCTTAAATATTCCACTAAAATTTAATTACTATACATTTTTTGTACATTAAAATTTAACTATTTGCAATGGAAATCAATTTGATTAATTAAATCTCAATTGTCATTTTATCAAGTAAACAAAAATGAAAACTCTTACGTACTGCAGGATGGTTCTACAATTAAATAACATCCCTTTACACTCATAAAAATTATCTTAGTTTAGAAATTTTGAAG